AATTAATGTTTGGTTTAAATTCAATGTCGCGACCTATAACAATTAAATCATCTATGTATCTTAATAAGATGCAAGATGGTTCATATCTTCGATTTGATTCATATATATATATATATATATATATATATATATATATATATATATATATATAGTCTACATACTTAAGCCAATCTTGAATATTTCCTTATATAATTACTATCTGCTAAAATCTTCAGGTGGTCACCCCAAAATGCCTTGGTGGTCCACCGGTTGATCGCGATCGACGTAATGTCCATACCATGTCTAAAGAAAATAGCTGTTGTAGCAGAACAGACAATGTCACAAATTTGCCCTAGCATTACTATTGTCAAATTAGGACTTAAATCCTTTAAGGGTGAAATTCTTTTAAAGTTAAAACTTGTAGAACTATCGATGCACGTTAAGTGTGACTGTCGAGAGTGAAAATTCGCTTTGGATGTAAGTTTAAAGAGTAGGTTTTCACAGTTATGGTATCATTCTCCTTACTTAATCATGGTTCAAAATTATGGATTTCGTCACCTATAGCTCTCAACGCGTTGTTTTGAAGTGCAGTATTAATATATACTCCATCATTCAATCTTATAAGACAGTGATTCTGAAACTGTGAGGCGCACTCAACTTTGGAAGCGTGATGACTTTTAAGTGGAGAGCGCGAATATATCAAAAAGTCTAAAATAAAATTTATTTTAAAAATTACTGAAATGTATTGAAAGGAAGCACAAAGCAAAATCTACATACATTTTTACGTAAAATAACAAGTAATATAAAAAAAATTAAGTCAATTCCGACTTAGATCAACAAAGAAAAATTTTCTTTTAGCTATTTTTTTTATTAAATAGTTACAATTAATATAAATACGCATATACATATAACAGAATCACAACATTCAGTGGGAATTAATTTTTATTGATTATCATTAAAAGTATCATATTGTCATCCAAAACAGTCGTGTATATAAAATTTCAGTTCAATTGCATGTTTTAAAACGTAAGAAAAAATCTTTTAATGTTTTGACTCAAATCACTAAAAATGAAATCAACGTGGCTGTATCTGTAATTCTTTAAATAATTAGTTTCAGTCCATTAATTGCAATTAATTATAATTAAATTATCGTATTTTTACCCAAAACAATAGTGTTATAGAAAATTTCAGCTCAAATGAGGGTTTTAAAATAAGAGAAAAAAATATTTTCAAGTTTCGGCACAAGTGGCCAAAATGGTCGCTAAATCACTAAAAATGATTCCAACGTGGCTTATTTCTATTTTTTCAATAATTAGTTTTAATCAATTGATTTGTATTAATTGTAATTAAATTATTGTATTGTCATCCCAAATAATTATGTATATAAAATTTCAGCGCTTTAAAATGTATTTTATTAATGATTGAAAATTCACCAAGATAAATAAATAAATATATATATAAAGAGTGTAAGCTAATAGTAGGAATTGAATAATAAAATAGACATTCTTTTTAGATATAATATACTTATAAAATATAGAAAAGAAAAGTAACGTAATACTTATCCTATTACTTAAAACTAAGGTATTTAAAATATTTATTACATAAAAGTAGCATATACAAAATTTAATTCTTATCTTGACAATTTGTACTGCTTATGATTAGGGTCGTATTGTAGCTTTAGAAAAGAACTTCCGTTTTGTTTGGTGTGGGGGGTGATGAAAATTATAAATAAAAATTGGTTTACAAATATTGAATGTATTATAAAGCTTTTAAAAAATGTTTTTCTCTGCTTAGTGCTAAATAGTTTTCATAATTCTGTATATGATAATTTTATGTTTATCTTCTTTGAGTCTTTATTTATATCCAGCATTGACTCTTTATTAATGCCGCACTTTGAAAAAACACGAGATTCAATGACAACAAACTTCGTAATTATGAATCATGTTGAGGAAGACACCTGTGCGAGCTAGCCACTGCAAATTTCTACAGATTATGTTGATTTTGAGACTCGACAGTTTTACGTACATCACCTCTACATTAGTGTGATTTTTAAAAGAATTGGGATTCACGATCTCACGATTCTTAAGAAGCAATCCCAATGTCGATGACAATTCGGCTGCAGTAACCATTGAGATTAGATAGGAATGGAGAGTATGTAGAGCGTAATAAATATATTTTCATATTTAATATTTAGGTTTTTAATTTTGGAAACAGTTAGTTGAAATTAATTTAGAATAATTAAAAGAAATAATAAAATATTATATTTTTCTTTTAAATTCAATTTTTCAGATGTGGAATTTTGAAAGTATTAACTAAATTCAAAACGAGAATTAGAAGAAATAGAAGATAATTTAAGAATTAGAAGAGTATTTAAGAATTTAAGAATTAGAATATTTAAGAATTTAAGAATTAGAAGAGTATTTAAGAATTTAAGAATTAGAATATTTAAGAATTTAAGAATTAGAATATTTAAGAATTTAAAAATTAGAAGATTTAGAAGAGTATTTAAGAATTTAAAGAATTAGAAGAGTACTTAAATTAAAGAATTAGAATAGTATTTAAGAATTTAAGAATTAGAAGAGAATTTAAGAAACAAATTCAATAATAATCATTAAGACATTCGATAAATTGAAAATAAATCGAATCAATATTAATACTAAATGTTTATTGAAAGTTCTTAAAAGTGTTTCATAAAATATTCATGAAATGTGTACATTAAAATAAATGTTCTCATTTTGTCAACATTTGAAAGAAAGGAACTCGTTGAATTTTCAGACCATTTTGAATTTTTGAAAACAACAAGCCTTTAGCATAATTTATGAGTAGATAAAGGAACATATATTGGGATTTGAAGAAAGTAAGAACTAGCTGAGATCCTTACGCCTGAAGAAATTTGAAGCTTTAATGCTAGAGAAAAGTATTTCTTCATTGCATCTCTTCCTCAACTCAACTCGTAGTTTGAAAAGGTAATAACGGTTCTCGAAGTCTGAAATATATTTTCTCACATTATATTCTATTTCGTAAAAAAAGGGGAAAATAGTATTAACATCTAATACACTTCTGTTTTTCTTATGCCTGTTAGGAAGACTAGGCACGTCTGTCATTTCATGAAACATACATTTTATGTCAGATAAATATATTAAATAGTATTACTTTTTTAAAAATTTTGCCAACATTTAAATCACTTTCTATGAGTTCTTGAAAACTTTTTAAGGAATGCATTTAAAATAATAAAAATAAAATTCTTATGCACCATAAAAAAGCATTTATGTGTTTCTGCTGATCCTGGTACTCTGAAAATAATCTTTGTAATAATATCTCTTGTACATGTTATCCTCCCGATGTTTCCCTTATCAATTAGATAATTCTTTTTGAAAATTTTTACCCTTTTTTACTTCGGGTCAGGTTTTGGGACTTTTTTTTTCCGAGTTGTCGCCAACACGAATATCGGTGACATTTTCCAATAGGGTACATTAACTACTAAGACAATCAAGAAACCGATTTTGATATCATTTATTTGTGGTGGTTTTCATAGCATAATGTACCCTTTACCCGACGAATAGTTACCATACATGCATTTTGAATGGATATCAATGATCTATAATAAGTTTCAAGTACGTATTAACTGGGTATGATGCAAGCAACCAGCTTATAATACCTTTAATCAAATTATTTCGGAAATGATCAATTCAGTTAAACAGAATATTTTATCATAGGCAGAATATTACTACTTGTTTCCTGTCACTGTGGGTCCAGTAGTGTGAAAAGAAAAAGAGAATTTTCAATTCACACACTGACAAATTTGATTGAAAAGGGAGTTCTGGATTCACAACATTCATTGGTACAATGACTAAAAAAAACTTTTTTCCATTTTAAATATACAAGTTACTTCCACAGTATCATTTCAGTCAAGTCATTTAAAGGGCAATAGAATGTAGCTTTCAAGTGTTTGAGGGAGTGGCATGACAAAGAAAACCTTTTGACCCCGTGTAAAGTGTTCCAGACAACTTCTATTTAAAGCTGGCTTTCCAATAGATTTCTCCTTCTGTAAGCTGCGGCACAGGTTGACTCGTGTGAAAAGGCCCTTTAACTAATGAACCGAATAAAGTTTCAACATATGTTTGAGTTAATTTCCAAGGAAGTTTCAACATGTGTGTGAGTTAATTTCCAACATGTTAAGTTTCAACATGTTTGTGAGTTAATTTCCAACATAGTTAAGTTTCAACATAGTCGTGAGTTAATTTCGAACATAGTTAAGTTTCAACATATTCGTGAGTTAATTTCAAAATAGTTAAGTTTCAAAATAGCCGTGAGTTAATTTTCAACATATTTAAGTTTCAGCATAGTAATGATTAAATTTCCAACATAGTTAAGTTTCAACCTAGTCGTGTGAGTTAAGTGCAAAAAGTCTGAGAAAAATGGCTATCAGAATTAAGAGTTAAAATCAAAAACAGTTGAGAGTATATAGTTCAACTATAGTTAAAATTCAAGAACAAACATAATAGTGTGTTGAATGTCGACCCGTTTAAGAGCTTAGCTCTAACTCACTGAAGAAATTGCGAAGAAATGTTACAAGTTAATGTAGTAAGAATATTAAATCTAGTTTGGGTGAAGAATTTCATTACAGTTAGGAATTGAGTGTCTATTCTTATCTGTCTGATTGATGTGATTTCTCATCATAAAAATAGCCAAGGTAGAAGGTGACTTATTTTGGTAAACGTTTTATTTTTCAATTCCTACTATTAATTCATACTTCACACTCTCCCTACATATATATTATTTAACGATTGAACATTTGATCGATATATACATAGATCAAATTTTCAATCGTTAATATTATACTTTTTATTCATCCATTCAAGTTCAAATACATTTTTTATACTTGTAGTGCATGACAAATGATGTTAATATAGTTTATTCAAATATTAATTCATTAATTTAGTTAAAAAAAGGAATAGATAATAACAAACAAAAATAATAGTCCAACAGCACATATAAAGAAAAACAGTTCGTTTCGTTGTGTCCCTGTAGCGCAAATGGATTGCGCGTTGGACTTCCATTCCAAAGATCGTGTGCTCCAATCCCACCTGGACGGCCATATTTCTGAGAATGTGATTTCTCTGAATAAATAATAACAAACAAAAATAGGTGGTCCAACACCATAGATAGAAAGGAAAATGGAACATTGCAAGTAAAATTGCTTTCTAATTTGCCACATAATATTGTGATTCTGTCATATGTATATACATATTTATATTAATTGTAACTATTTAATAAAGAGTAACAATAAATTTTTTCTTTGTTGACCTATGTAGGAATTGACTTAATTTTTTATATTACTTATTTCTTATTAAATCTTTTATTTAATGTACGAGACGCTGTTATTGTTTCCTTTGCGCTAATTTTATTTTAACTGTAATAATTTATAATTTTTTAAAAAATAGCAAAATAAAGGAAACACGAAATATAACATAGAAACTACACTAGCCCACAATTATTTAACTTAAATATTAAAAATAAATACGTTTGATGAATGTACTCAAGGATAAATGAGACGTTTCCTATTAATAGTTTTATTTTTACGATAACTAGAAAATATACCGGAAATATTGTATGACTTCGTTTCATCAGTCATTTGAGTTCTCTTCGCTCAGTACGAAAAGTCAATTTCTGAAATGATGCCTCAATTGATAGAAACCTGAATTGTAATAATTGATGATAAAAGGTCAAAGATTAAAATTACGATTCTATCCAAGTTCGCCGTATGGAATCGTAATCGCATTCTATGTTTGATTCAATTTATCCTAAACGCCATCACGTAGTGCAATGATAAAATTTCTAGAGCAGTTCATTTTTGGGTCACTCGTCAGTTTTTATAACTGACCATGGATACAAAGTATAAGGTTAATGACCACGATTGAATTCAATGCAGTTCTAATGGTATAAATTGATAAAAATCAAATCAAAATTCTGAATATTCTTTGTTTTTCCTTCATGAAACTGGAATATAAAATTAATACCTTTAATACTATATTGATTTATGTGCCCGTACATGATATTTTTATATAAAAATAAATATTTAATTGTCTGAATGATTATCAATTTTCTTCATTGCTGAATATTTGACTGTTTTTTTAGTTTGTTATATCTCATAAGATTGTTAATAAAACAAAAACTATACCAGAATATAATCTAAGAATCTTAAAAGATTGTTTTGTTACGCACAAATTAAACAGAGGTCATGCTTAATTTTAATAATAAAAGAGATGATTTTTGTATAGTTTATTCCAGAGGTGGACAACCCACGGCACGCGTGCCACACTGTAATGTAACAGTGGAACACGAAAATTTATTCAAAAATAAAAAAAAATTCAAAACATAATAATAAATACCAATCTTAGTATTGGTTAAATTACATTTCAAACGATGTTTCTGACCTTAAAACTATATCTGCATCAAAACGAACAGAATCCAAATTCCCGTAACACTTTATTAAATTTAGTATAAATTAATATAATTGTTTTTATGATTTTTTTGTTTACATATAATTGAATGAAATTATGGGGATATTTGTAGAGGTATTTTTTAAATTTGGCACAGTTTAAATACATTTTTTAAACTTGTAGTGAATGACTCTTGATGTTAATATAGTTTTTTTTTCAAATATTAATTCATTAAGTTAAATTAACAAAAAAAAATTTTTTTTTGAACTAAGTAGGATTTTTTTTTTAAATTACTTGTTTATAAGTAAGACATGTCTGAATTTCCCTTATCACAAGTTTAAATTTATTCACAATTTTTGAACCGATATATTAGTAAATATAGCACAAAACTTCTTTGAAAATTCTAGTATATATTTTTATCATATTATTTCTGAAGCATTTGATATCACTTAAGTTTCAGAAGTAAATATATGTCACATTATTAAAAATAGTCCGAATATTTTTGTTTTGTAACAAATGTTCCAAATCTTAAAATTAATGAAAATGAATGTAAAATAAATGTATGTAATAATATAATACCAAATGGTTTCATAATGATTCCTGGTATGAAGAAAAAAAACAATTATATTATATACTTATTTGTAATATCATTTTTGAAATGAAATGTGGATAATTTGTAGCTCAGTTTTTTTCCTCTAAATCCTCATCTAAGTATGTATAGCATAGTGCTGAGACACAAAAATTGTATTGTATATAAATTAAATACAAGCACACACACACACATGTACATACATATAGGAATATATATACACACATACTTACAAGCTGTATCAGTACAACGGCTACAAACTTTCAATACAAATACAGTACACCTAGACGTTGGGGAATTCACGTAGCAAAGTATAGTCGAAAATGCTTCTCTGACTCCGTAATGACGATAACAAAACACAAGAAAGACAGGATATGAATAAAAGGAAAAAACATGTTTATTATCCTTACATAAAAAAAACATTAAAGAGACGACGATTGTCATCAAAGTAGGTGTTTCGTACAGGCGTGATACAAACCCTCACATCTCCGACTCATTGAAGATCGAACTTTAAGAGAAAATATTGGACGCATGTCTCAGATTTCCCCAACAGTTGTCGCGATACGTGCAACAAGGCCCCAGGTTCTCGAGTTTCGTGCGCCAGAGAATTGAAGTAGCCCTATAAGAAATAATCAAGGCTAGTGAGGTCTGGCGATCGAGCGGGCCATTGCAGTGAGCAACCAACGTTTCAATTAACGCCTTCTATTGCGCATATCCATCCGAATACTTTCCAGCATTTTTGCTGTGCTATGAAAAATAAAAAAAATTTCTTCGTACTCTCGTAATGCATTTTTTTGTGTTTTGTTTCGTCCCCACCATATATATATATATATATATATATAAATGTAAGGATAATTAAATTAGATTTAAAATTAAATTCCCTACATAGCACTTAATTTTTATTTTCCAGTAGATCTTGAAGTATTAAATCTTGAAGTATTAAGTATTTCTCCGAAACAGATGCCTTAACCTTTAAACATTTCTAATCCCAGATCATTATATTTAATAGCCTTATATGTCAGCATTAACTATAAAGTATATATCATAAAATACGAGGTACTTCACATATATAGCTTAAGTGGTAAAACACTTAGATTTCACTTTGGCGTTTTTATTCTCTCAGCGTCAGAATTTGTAAAGAATTCTTCGAATAAAGATCTTTTTTAAAATCAAGACTGGTTCTCACTCGAAACATGTCATATATATATAATATATATGTACAACTAATATCCGGAATATATGTAAATTACTGTTTATCTCCCTTCATAATAATTTTCTTAAATAGATAAACACTTAAATATTAATCTAAGACTAACACGTATTTTATATTTCTCTCATTAAAAATACCTGTTTTCAATTTTCTTCAAAAGGAAACCAATTTCAATGTGTGTTTTTTTTTCAAAGATAAGAAGTTAGTCTTTGAGAATTATTCGAATTGAACTTCTTAATAAAAACTTATAAATATGAAATGACATAGCATTCAACAATTTTTTAGCGTTATTCAGGGATAATTTAATTTTAAAATAATACCTTCAGCTTAAAAAAAGCGAGGTTTTTCAGCCTTTCAAGAGAGTTATAGCCTCATACTACAAAAAGCTTTTTTTTTCAAAAAGAAAAAATGGAAATGTCAAAAAAATTACATTTTTCCTGTTTCAAGTGTTAAAAAATAGAATAAAGTTCAAAATTGTTTTCTCTGCAGAAAAGGAAAAAAACACATTTAGATAATTTAATTTCATAAATTCAGTTATCTATGAGAAATGTTCTTAAACCAATGGGAGCTGCGATATAAATAATAAATAAATACATGATTTTATTACATTAAGTTTAATTAAACAATATTTGTTGAATTGAAACATTTAATTGCGGGACAAAAAAATTATTATACTAACATTAAAAAATAAAATGAATACACTTTAAAATAGAAAGGGTTATTTGTTGTGTAAATACTGCTAAAATACATTTTGAATAAATTGAATTTGAGTAAAAATAATACAACTCACAGAAATTAAATTTTAAGTAAATCACATTAAATTCTTAATCAAATTAACTTGTTGATTCCATAATTGCATAAATAATCATAAATTAAACTTTAATGACATATTATTGTCGATTTTCGTAATAACATAGGTAAAAAGATTGTTGAAGAAACAAGACTAATCAGCAATGTTTGCATTAAAGAGTATGGGGTGTTAATTTTGTCTCGAGGGCTGAAAATGTAAACAATTTTCAAATGGATACAATTCTTTGAAATAAAAATTAAATAATTCAATTATTTTACACATTATTTATAAAATAATGAGGTTCCAAAAATGTAATATATTTAAAAGGTAATTATAATTTTATAAATTATAAGCACATGAAAATAAGAAACATTTCTCTAATAAATATTAAATAAATTTTACGTTGCTGATGCTTTTTTCTAAAATAGTTGCTTTTGATGTATAAAAAGAATTATAAAATTTGTTATACTTTTCAAACCGAGCCTAATTTTAGTATTACATGTATTTTGTATTTCAAAATATATAAATTGCATTTAAAAATTGAATTAAAATTTTTAAAAAAAATTAAAAATATAATTTTTTAGTTTTTTTTATAAATATAATGTTTTATTCTATTTATGTAAAAATAGGCATAGTGTAATATGTACTGATTTAAATTTATAAATTAAATTATTAATAATATTTAAAGCTCCTGTTTCAGAAACTATCATGCGCAACGTAAATCTTAAATACTATTTCTTACAGAAATATTTCTTATTTTCATATGCTTACGTTTTTTTTAAAAATTAATGATTATATTACAAACATTTTAATTTTTTCAAGCCTTATTACTTGATAAATAATGTGTAAGATAATCGTATTATTTAACGTTAACCTCAAAAAATTGCCTCTAATCGAATATTGTTTATATTTTAAGCTCTCGATACAAAATTAACACCGCTGAGACCCCATAAAAAATTATAAATTATTACTAACAAGTTGCTTATTTACTTCATATTTATTAAACTAATCCGATCCATTTTTTCAAATTTCTTAGAATCACATTTCATAAGTTATATAGAT